ACGACAGATGTCTGTGGCTACACCATTGCAGCCATTATACCATTACAACTGGCACTCTCCGCAGAGATAAGGTTCCTGTAGCTTAGCTGCATGCTTTCCCTCCTACGTCTGATGCTATGCTTCAGCTGAAATACTATCTGGCTCCAAGCATGTGTACAGAAACATGTTTTGTTTTAAAAGTCTGTCACTTAAATGTACCAGAAACTTGTCCTGCTCCTTCCATGATGCTGAGCAGCAGCAGGCTGCCCCATGCCATGCCCCCTTGCCAGTGAAGTCAGAAGTAACATCTTGCCACCAGATCCCTCGCTGTATGGTGTAGCATGTGAGACTTTTACCTTTTTGCCCAGAAGAGACGTTATTGCTAAACTTGACTTTCTGAGAAACTCTCTCTACTGTAAGACAGCAAGGTTGTGTACAAAAGTGTATTTTACACTCAATGCATTTTTATTCCCCGTGGTGGCAAAAGAAGGTTGACGTGGAAGCTCAGACACTGCCTTCTCACTGTTGGTATCTCTCTGCTAATTTTCTTACACTCTGCTGTCATTTGCCTTGGTATGATTTAATGCATACTTGGCCCCAGGAGGAAAGACTTAAAGGTGAAGCTACAATATTGATTCAGTATGTGATTGGACGAGTCATGGCCAAACACTTTCCAAACAAGGCCACTGTGAGGAATGTAAAAGCACACCTCTACTGATGATGAGAGATGATTACAAAATGTATACTGTTCTACATAGCTAGAAAATATTACTGTGTATCTATAGGAAAGAGAAGCCCTTGAAGGCCAGGTTGGAAACCATTCATTTTGCTAGGGCGATAGATGTTGGTCATACCCCACTCCTCTCTCAGGTTGGATTAGGACTCCTGGAAAGAAAAAAAATTGAGGTTTCTATAGGAGAATGACTGTTTCTCAGGAAAAGACAAGTGAACGGTTTTAAATTAGAGCGATCTCACGATAAGCCAGCCTTTACTGAGGGTTACATGGTTTGCAACCTGGCTGTAGCCAGATCTGATCCAGAGTGCGCTAGGGCCAATGACTTAGAGCTGGGCCGGAGTTTATATTTATTTTCCCTCAAACAAAGATGAGTGTTGTGTATTGCGTGTGGTAGATTATTTTCTGCACCCTATTTTACAATACAGCAACTGATAAGTAATCTCCAACTTGCCAGTGAGGTATGTTATATTTCTTCAATTTCTAAAGTATCTGTCAAAAACATTGTGAAAAACCCTAAAGCCTGTACAGCTGCTGGCAAAAATGTGACCTAGGAGGACATGGCAGGCAGTTTTCACTCGTCATAGTGAAATGGCCATACTGTTTTCAGTTGTTATAGCCAACTGCTGCTATAAAACACCATGCTAGGCAACGTGGGCAGGGCTAACAGCTATTTATTTGAATGCAGGTAACATCTGGAGCACTACAGGTCATTGCAGGGGACGGGTGAGATCAGTGGTTACACAGCACCTCAAGCCCTAGGACACCGGAGGGCCAGTCCAGCCACCTCGCCTGGAGCCCTTCTGCATCCCAAAAGCTCTGCCCGTCGCACATCTGTGTATGAACCCCCCTTTTTGTGTTACCGTGTCCCCGTTTTATAGATGTTTTTTCCCTAGGTAGGCTGTCGTGCCAGGCTGGACAATGGCTGGTTGCTATTTACGCAGATTTAAACCAGTTTTGGGAGTGCTGGTTCCTGGTGCCTATCATCAGACAAATTTTCCTGGGAATTCCCTCAGGAATCACTCTAGCACTGCTGCACTATCACACAGCTGAGACTCAGACGAGCCGGAGAGCCTCAGCAGCCCGGTGAAGCGGCAGCCTCAGAAAGGCCTGTGTCCGGCAGTGCCCGTGTCTACCATGGATAAGCTATCTGCATTTGTTTGTTTAACTTTTACTTATCGGGGATTAAGAAGCCTTTAGTTTCCAGGAACAAGCCCTATTCAGGAAACACTTGAAGTGAGCTCTGCTTTGCATCAAAGCTGACTTCCCTATAGGTATTAAAGGTATTAATTTATTAAAGGTATTAGTTTATTAAAGGTATTAATTTATACTAGTTTTTGGTTGACATTTTTTATTGTAAGTGGATCAAGTTTTGCTTTGTTCGAGGCTGTAGCACGAAACGCTCCTTGGACTGCTTTGTGATGGCCTTGTCTCCCTTTTTTCTTTTTGCTGCTCAGCTATAAAGTAAATTCAGAGAACAATTTTTTTTTTTTTTCCAGAAATAAACTCTCTTTATTTTAAAATTCAGACACATGTGCTTTATAATGAAACAGACGCCAAAAGAGACTTGGTATTCATCTCTGGTTCTAAGCAAAACTGTGACTTTCAGGGCTATATAACCAGACACAGTGGTTTTAATGAATCTTTACAACTTTATGTCTCCCTGCCCATACTCAAGATAGTTTTGCAGGCACTTCAGTGATCTTTCTGTTAATGGCCTCCCACAACAGAATCCAAGACATTTCAGAGATTTCCACCGTTTAAAAAAAAAAAGAGAAAGAAGGAAAAAGCAAAGATGGTGTCTTTACAGTGTCATGTTAAATATGGCCAGCTCTCTATCAATTTTTTGCCACGTGCATTTCCTCTCCCCAGTCTCCATGCCACCTCAATTTCCAAGAGCTTTCCCATTGCCCCAGCATTGATTGCCCTCCTAAAGCTCCTCCATTGCCAACCTCTCCTTTGTAACAAGATCTGTGAAATTTTCAAGAGATTCTTGAATAAGAAGAGTCTTTAGTACGAGCCATTAAGTCCTGATTTCACAGGAACTCTGGTTTTTGGTCAAACACTTCAATTATTTTTCCTAAGTCTTCCTGCAGCATATGGTGGCACATGGAGTCATGCTTCCAGTAGCCTTCTGTTATCCACTTCTTTCTCTGCTAGCGTGTGGTTCTTCTGGCAGCAAGTGCAAACGGCTGGTGACAGCCTTCGTCAGAGACAGGTACCGTCACCTCCCAGTTGAGGAAGTCCGTATATGTATTTGTTCTGGTGAGCTTTGTGTTCAGGCTGTCCTTAGAATCTGCCACCTTTCCATTAAAAAAAATACCGCTTCTCCACTGAGATGCCAGGAACCAAGGACTGACTTTGATGATTTTCACTCTAATTTTCATTAACAATTCAATTTAAATTAAATTTCTTTAAAAAAACAAGAAAAAAAGATCCCCAACCTACAAAAATCAGTTCCAAATTCAGAACAACAAAAGCCTGAGGGTACACAATATTGGTTTGGACCAGAACGTAGTTAGAAATTATTTGCAGAGGATTACTTGATTCAGGTTAGAATTTCAAATGATGCTGTAATCAGGGATCTGAGATTTTAATCTGGGTATCTCTCTGCTTAATACAAATCATGAGCTTATCATGAGCTGCCCAAGACATTGATGCTAATTTAAAAATTTCAGAATAAACCTAAGTATTACTTACTGTTTCTTTTCTTAAGTCAAATATTTTCAGCCTATAGTTTATGAGGAGGAGAATGGCACTTTCATTTTCCTTCCTCACCCACCTTGTTTTAAGGAAAGTTTTTCTTAAATTTTTCCTCATCTGTTTTATGTTTCCCTTTCAAAAAAACAATGCTAAATGTTAAATTGGAGATGTTGCATATTACTTGTGAGTATACTGGACCACAAGAATGTAGAAATAACATCCCCATGTAAATGAAATAAAGGTAGGAAAAAAATATGGAAACAAAGACTGATATCTCTGAGATGAGGTGGAATGGTGTTTGCGTCTGATTCTGACACAAAATATTTTAACCAGTGAAGCTGCAAAAATCGAGTGTGCTGTGGTGACACACGTTAAAATGTTAACACAAGTTAAATCCATTTTGATAATTGTCTAGGCCTCAGAAAATAAATTCTTATTGTGGGCTTTTCTTGAAAGCAAGAAAATAAAATTTCTTTAAACTTTGAGGGAGATTTATTAAAAATTCTGCCATGCTAGTGTGCCTAGACAAAACTGCTGACTAAACAAATATATTTGACATGTTTTTGCATCCGCTACCCTGCATCAGTTACCGAAGGCTCCCTGTCCAAAGCGCCGGAGAATTGGGTCTTTGAAAGTGAATCCACAGAGAACAGGATGCCCATTTGCTTAAATTAGCCGCTAAGAAATCCCATATTCAGTTTATGTCTTCAGTCTTGCTTGTCTTCTGGGCTGAGCCTGCCCTTAGCAAAGATGGCTCTATATAGCTGGGTGCTATATCCTTCCTACTCTTGGAAGGATTTCCCAGGGAGGTGGAGAATGTGGGTTTGAATCCACGCAAGCTGAGAAGGGAACTGTACACAGGTTTCCCTCCTTCTGCAACAGAGCTCTGACTCTTGAGGTTTTGAAGACTAAAGGAGGAAAAAGGCGTGTAGGGAACCTTACTGTTGAACAGTGGTTAGGCACTTTCAGGAATACAAAGCATGTGACAAAGGCTTTCAGGACTGTCAGTCTGCATTTAGCTACCTAAATCCCATTCAAGTTCTCTTTTTGGGTTTGATGCATCTTTCTGTTCAGGCCTCAGCCTTTCTGTATCTCCAAGAACAGTTACAGTGAGGGAATAAATTCCTCAGAGCCTGCAAAACACTGATCTATGGTAATTACCTGGGCTGTCCAAGGTAACTCTTAATGGAATATGGCTGAGGGTCTGGTTCATGTCTTTCCTGGGGCTTACGGTAGCAACAGCATCACCTTAAATAGGGATAGTACTGAAAATGTCCTTCAAAATGCAGAATGTAACTCGGGCTGAGTTATTACTAGTACATTTCTCTTGAAGGCTTTGGGCAGTGCATGGAAAAAGCCAATAGCACTTTGCGAAAGGTAGTGGTGGTCAGAAGATTTAGAGAGAAGGATGCACTGCTTACCTGTTCCAGCTGGACTAGAGCAACAAGTGAAACACAAGTCTACACAGGAGTCTGCTTTAATCCATCATTCTATTTTATGAAGCATCACACAACATTTTCACCAATTAGCATTTGATAGCAGTTTAAGTAAGGACCACAGGGTTATTTAAGGAAAAAGCAACAACCTATTTCATAGTCACTGACTCCTCATTTCGCAGCAGTGCTCTTGGAGGGCTTGGATAGTACCCAGCAGTTGCTGAGCTATTTGAGGAAAATCGTGTAAATCTATAATCCAGTGGTAAATCTGAAAGACAGAAACATACCAAATCTGATTAGCAACACAGCCCATATCACAGAAAAAATAAGCCTGTGGTGAATAGCAGTACCTCTTGAGCCCTTGAGCTGTTTGCTCACCAGCATTAGAACTCAATCAGATTGTGTGATTACATATTTACTTGGCATCTTCAGCTGTCCAAGGGATTGACTTTCAGAGTTTACTCAACTGCAGTAAAGGATATTCAGTTCCTTGATTGCTAAAACAATGCTAGTTATAGAAAATTATTAAACTAATGCTTAAAAATTGAACAAAAACCTTCATTGAGCCTAGATGGAGTTTTCCCACGATAATGCTTTCAATTTCATTCTTCAATTTGTCACCTTCCTCTTTTATCTCAGCAATCTACTCATAAAAGGGCTACATTTAAAACAAAGAAGTCCGTTTCTTTTTTTCGTGGCTGTTACAGCAAGATTCACCAAAGGCACCGGCTCTTAGACCTTCTTGCAGCCCAGTGTTAACAACTTCATTTTGTACCAGGCATTCTTAGAAATCTGCACTTGTAACTTGGTGTACTCATCACTTCCAGTTTGAAAGAACACTGAATGCATTAAAATAGTTCTGAACAGTCAAAGCTTTCTTTTCTGTCACTTTTTAAAAAAAGTCTTTACTGCCAGCAGTGACCCGCCCACCCTCACAGCCAGAAAACTGATACTTCCCATGCTCACCTCGTATTCAAAGTTCAAGAAACCAAATTACAAAAACACACAAATAAAACTTCATTCAAGAAACAATTACCCTTTCAATAAATGAAAAAAAACCCAAACAAGCCAAAAACCCAACCAACAAAAAAGGGTTAGCTCCTTCCTAAGTTGTCTGTTTAGAACCAAAGCAAAACATAAAAACTATTACTTAGCTCATCTTAACAGTAAGCTATTAATGACAACTTTGGTTTTTTTTTTAAATTTGGAGCAAATTTGGGGTGATGATATCCTGTCACTACATGCTACAATTTTTTTTTTTTTTTTTTTTGTGCTCAGCAGCTTTTGTGAAACAGAAAGAGACAATCTGAGCAGTTTCGGCAGGAACAACAGGAAGTTGAGGTCCGTCTCACCAGCGATTCACAGGCAGGCGCCAGGACAGCATCCAGATCTGCAGCTTTAAAACCATATTAAAAATAACTAAAGCAAGCAAATTAGTATTTAGATCCAGCTGAAAAATCAGATGGAGACTGGAATAAAGTAGGAATGGGAGGAGACTTGATTGGAAGTAAATTACGCTTTATGAAGTGGGTTCCTTCAGCTTGTCAAAGAAGTACATTTTCTCATTTTGTCTGAGTCAGGGGAATCTCTGGAGCCCTTTCTGAGCACAGCAGAACAGGCAGATGTTTTTCTAGTCTGTGGAGGGCCCAGTGGATTTACTGGCTGCTGAGTCTATTTATGACAGCTCTGTTTAAAACAAAGGTTTCCAAAACAACAAATAATAATAAAAAAGAAAGCAAGTATTTCTGAATATCTTTATGAGCTATAGAAATTAAATGCCATACAGTTACTTTTATATAAAAGCTTTCACTAGCTTTTTAGTCTAGCAGTCTGGAGTGTCCCTAGAGTAGTTTAACCAAAGAGCAGCACAAATGGGGCAGACTTGCTGCAGAGTTGCTTATGCTGAAGAAAAGAATCAGTTGGATCAAAATGGTAATTTTGTTGGTATTTTCTGGTAAACTAGCTTTACACAATCAGCTTAAACACGAGATCCCAACCTATCATTTTTGTCTGAGCAAGCTGACTTTGGAAGATGATCAGAAGGTATCCCTATGAAAAATGTTGCCCAAGGCATCACTGAAAGTTGCATGAAGCAGGTACTATTCTTCACCCACTAAGCAGATTTTATGTATCACAAACATAGTAAAAATCTTCCTCTGTTTCCAGTTTTTTTCCATCAATGATTTCATTTCCTGCATCTGCTTAGCCTGGAATATGCAACATTTTATATTATTGCTTTATTTGTGTGATATATTTATGAGAAAGCTCTGGACTGATCCAGAAAGGCATACTTGGAATCTTAGTGGCTATGAATAAACACACGGTGAGGAAGAAGGGCAAGTATACAGGGAAAGAGAAA